TTTTTTGACCTAGATGCATCAACCATACAGAAGGCATAAAAGTTGCTTTTTCTGTTAGTTTGTATGAAAACACCATGTTTGTATCTTCCATATGGATGATACATCTCGGTCAAAAAACGTCGAAGACAGCTGGGATATGGTTCATTTTTTACAGAATCATTTCTTCTATCGTTCCGAATAAATTAGTCAGAGTTTTATTTGTTAATTCTCGGCCCTGAAAAACCTGGTATATGTAACAAAGGCATTGAGTTTTAATCTTTTATGAGATATGAAAGAAAAAACTAAGTAAAAAAACCCAGTTAATCATGAATATTTTAGATTTTTCATTTAGCTTGTTCATCGCTCTATAGAATAGATGATTTTAATAATTACTAGTTTTTCAGTAACTGATGATTCCAAACAGTATACATGTATACTCAAAGATCAATATGTCAAACTATGTCCTTACATATTCTCTTTAAAAAATGGATACATTCGGCATATGTTTGGTTTTTTTGTAGATAAATCAACTTAAATAATATTGATTCCATTTTCAACGAGTCTTTTAACATCAGCATCGAAGACAATGTGTGATTTTACTGATTATGTTTACATAGTTCAGCTTGAAGTTGTAGTAATATTATCAATGATGTAAGACTGACTTCATAGTCGTCCTATATTTTCCGCAAAAACGAAGATCCTTTTGAAAATATTTACATATCCTATAAAAGGTACCATGTGTGTTGATGTAAATATCATCGCGGTGCTCTTGCTTCGCTTCTTCATTTTCGTCAAAACGATGAAATAAGTTGAGCTACAATTGATTTTTTTAAAAGTTTTTACAGATGACTGATCTTTTTTTTGAAAAACAATCTCAAAGGAATGTTGAACTATAGGAATAGAAATTTGACACCCTCTGGGGATGCACAACAGAAGCCAAACAATAAAAAAACAATTTCAATGTTTGTTATGAAATATTATTTAACAAAGACTTTTTAATAGAAAGTAAATATTCGTATTGTAGCGCCTTTCATGCGTTATCACATGAGATACTATTCAACTTGATTGTATGTCACACTACTGAGGAGATTAGAGCTAAAGCGAAAAAAAACTTTTTTACTTGGCTGTTTATTCTATCCTTCTCTGCACAGACGTGACAGATACCTAAGTAACGCCTTCCCCTTTGATCGTGAAACTTGAGGACACCTTCTCTGCGTTATACACTGTGACAGATATCCTCATGGAACATAACCTAATGCAACGTTAATATGAAATATGAGTGAATAAAGGTAGCTATTCTTTGCCTTTTTTTTCATACTGATTGAAACATATTATGATTAACATGTTTTTTTTTCATCGATAAATACTAACCATGGGTGGTAATTCGTTAATCGAACTATATTGAGAAGTTTCTCTATTTTACAATAATAGCAGCTCTATTGTGTTTCAAATTTTACTCCCACTGAGATTGTACTAACAGCTTCTTATGTTTGTAAGTACTTTGACGTATGTTAAAAATTATAATAGTAATGAGAAGACATCGTTCTTGCTGTGAAAACAAAAAAATATGCGTTCTTTTTTTTCTAAATAACTATTCAATTTAGTTTTGTGTACCATAATGTGAACATGCTAAATTGAACAAAGTTTTTTTCAGAGAAAACTATGTTTTACAATCTAAATATTCTCATAGAGTAATGCTACGGAGCCAGACATAAGTTCAAAAAATATACAAACCTTTCGACTTCTATCAACAATTTCATGCTATTTCAGATTAATATTATCTTATTTAATGATGAGCTTATTTCAATTAGTATAGTCAATACACATGATTTGAAATTAAAAAGCTTTTATATAAAACATATTATTATTGATAATTCCACTCTATACGGTTTCATTATATGTCTTAATGAAAATTCATTTCATCATCAGTCAATTTAATAATAACAAAAACTAATAAGATATTTGTCACAAATATTATAGCATAAATTCATTAGTTTGATTATCAATAACAAGTTTGATTAATACTTTTCGACATGCATATTTTTCTAATACGATTATAATCATGATAAGAAATAGATTTTATTAGCTTTGATCTATTCGAAAAAGTATCGAAATTTATAAAATGTCAATATTTTGACACAGCTAAAATCGATCGATGTTGTTTGTATTAGTCAATAGTAACGAACACACGCAAAAAAAACAAGAGAGAAAATACTGATGTTCAAATTGCAAATATTGTTTTTCCTGAGACATGATCTTGCTAACCAAATATAACTGTTTGTATTATAACGATTCATAGCAACCAATAAAAAACAATTTATATGCTTTTTTTTTGTCGAAAATACTTTTCTTTAACTATTAAAAGATGCTTCTCGAACGACATCATCATGATTAAAGTATATAGTTGATTGTAAGTACAAAAAGTATCATCATCTTTGTAAAAATACAAAAAATCTTCGCCATTGAAATCAAATGAGTTTTGAAAAATTGTTCGTTTTTTTTTTTGAAAAAAAAAACTTTGTTTTTCTTCTCTTGCAAGAAGTGTTTGCCATATCTGAGAATAACTGTATAGGTGACAATGCTGTTGTTGGCATAATACTTGACCTATAATTAGTAAAAATAACATAAGCACGATCTTTTTCTCATTCTTTTTTTCTTCTTCTTTCTCTTTTTCTCACTCTTTTCTAATGTACATATAAACACATAAGTAGTTTTTATACTTAATTCATCTTTTAAAAATTCTTTTAAACGTTCTCATTGCTTAACAATATGAATTCTAAACGACGACCAGTACCATTAGAAGTAACTAATTGGATGGATAAAGATTTAACATTAAGAAAAATAACAGCTAATTCACGTTTATTAACAAATGATACAAGACAAAATATTGTATTAAGTCGACAATTTTTTTCAAATTTATTAACATTATCATATGCACGTTATCGAAAAATAGCAGAACATGATTTTGATAAAAAATTATTTATTAGAAATCTACACAATAAATTTGAATCATCCCCGGGTTTTCGTCCGTATGTTCATTTTTTTTTTTAATTTTTTTTTTCTCTAATTAAATTTATTAATTAAGATATTTGGATCAATTAACAACGGGTAGTACGAATAGAAATACATCATCTCGAATACAATCAAATAGAAAAACTGGGAATCCATTATTATGTCCATCAGCTCAATCGTTTCTTTCTCGTTCGGAAACAAAATCTGATCCAACATTTTTTCGAAGACAACAATCATCATTTCGCCAAACTAGAACAGCTCAACCGATGAGAGCTGAACCAACAACACCTCTACCTGATATAGTACACGTTACAAATTCTGCAACATCCACTAATCGACGAACTCCAACTCGACAACAAATGTCACGTGAAAGACTTAATCGTTTAGCTCAACCAAAAGGTTATCGTCCTAAATCAACGAATAATAATGATAATAATAATCATGTTCGTGCAAATATAATTGAAGAAACGACAACATCAGAAGATGTTTTTGGTAAAATTGAGAATGAAACAGAATTCACATCAGAACAAATACAACCTATATTACCAGCGAAACCTAAAAGTGCAGCTGATGATCAACGTTTTCATCATTTAGTTGGTGTTTTTACTGAAATATATGACGCTCAAAAATCAAATTTACAAACAGTTAAAAATATTGTACGAGCTAATACATCATTACAAGATGAAAATGGACAATGGAAAGCAGAACGTCGTTCAGCAATTAGTCGTCAAGCTGAACTTGATCATAATCGTCAAATGCTTGCTGATAAACTTCACAGTAAACTAGATGTGTTTTTAATTGATGTTGGAGCATAACTTTGTATTTTTTTTTCTTTATTTATTCTATACAAAAAAAGACATCATTATACATTCCAAAAAACAAAAAAAAAAGGAAAAACGAAATTATTTAGAAAAAAAAAATTAATCAGACGCTATACCATAAGTTAAACAAATGGGTGGCATCTAAAATAAAAGTAATTTTATCAAATTGAAAAAAAAAAGACAAAGTCACTTACTTTATGACGCCATTTGGTTAATGAGATAAAACGCATTGTATGGTCTTTGCCCAAAATTTGTTCATCGAGATAGATGTCAATCTATTCAATGAAAAAAAAAAAAGATTCTATTAGTCATACGAGACATCGTTGTTTTTTTTTCCTTTTTTTATTTTACTATCTCAGTCGTTCTCCGTCATGATGAAGAAATGGAAGAGAGAATTACAGTAGAGAAAAACAAATATCATACAATAAAAAGGAATAATGACAGCTGTCCTGTCGCATTATTGTCATATCTTTCACTAAAATCTCATCATATATTACTATATTCATTCACTAAATACATATTCATAATTTTATTATTACTTTATTACATATCGTAATTGATTTTTTGCATATTTCTCTCAATAATAATATAGAAAAAAATTTGTTTTTTCTTCCTCTAAAAAACAATTTCTTATCGTCAGGCTTACTCATATAATATAAGTATAAAGCAAAAGCCTATTTTTCTTTTGTAGATTTAAATCCTAATTTAATGTCTTCACTTCTATTTAAATGTATTCCTTGTGGCCGTAGTGGTAAAGTACCTATTAGTGAAAAATACGACAAACATCAACCAGAACGATTGTATAAAAAAAAATCTAGTGAACCAATTGAAGGTCAATTACATTATGGAGCAATTCAACAAACTCCTACAACTGTACGTGCTCGTGCTTTTGAAATAATTGAAATGGGTACAACAGGAACAGGAAATGGAATAAATACAGATACAAAAACAATAAAATAAAAAACAATACCTTTCTATATTGACATGGATCTTGAAAAATCATTTTGGCCAATAATTTTTTTAAATGTGTTACAGTTGCATTACTTGAACAGATAATAAATTTTCGAGGAAGTGGCTACAAAATCAAAAAGAAAAAAAAACATGATTTTATGTGTATATATATTTCAAATAATTACTTGAAGATCTTTTGTTTTTGTATCAATACAAATAGCTACTTGATCATCATAAATATGTAAATCAGAATTTGCTGGAATTATTTGTTGTTCTTCTTCGTCACGTTTTTCTTGTAATTTTTCTTAGATTAAAAGAAAAAGTAAAATTTTGATTTTATCAATTATTTTTCTAATGAGTGAAGCACTTGAGATGAGACTTCAGTTATTATGTAGAGCCTGTTATGACTAGAAGAAACCTAGAGAGATTCTTCCCCATGCCCCATCCTTTTAAAGTTATGACCATTGCACTGAATTTTTTACCTTTAGCTCGGTATTTATTTTAAAAAATTGGACAAAAGGATTTCAACTAAAACGAGTTGTCTCTTCTTGAGACATCAAATGTGCAAAAAGAAACCTAGATTTTCCGTCTTTTTTAGTGGAAGGAACATCATGGTTTTTTGTAGATTTTAGATCTCAAGAAGAGACTACTCTTTTTTGGCTGAAATCTTTAGGCAACTGTAATAACTGTCTACAGATAAAGTTTTAGACCGAAATTTGTTGGCCCGGTTTTTTTTTTTATAAATACTGTGCCAAAGGTTAAAAGTCCAGTCTGGCGACTATAACTCGAAAAAGCCAACGCGTAGGGAAGAATCCTTCTAGTCTCAATAGATTCTATATAATGACTGGAATCTCATGTCAAACACGAGATATTATTTTGGGTAGTTTTCTCATAAGAAAAAAAATTCTCTTTACCAACTAATGATGGAGGATATGATAAATCTCGTTCTTTATAATAAGCTATTTGTCGTTCAATTTCTTCTAAACAACAAAAAATAAATAAATAAATAAATTTTATATTTCATTTTGATGTTTTATTTTTGTAACCTTTGTAAAGATGTGGTACTAATTTATAAGCAATTGATTGTAATGTACGATCAAATACTAATACACGCCATGGATTAACATGATCAATAACTGAATCACATTTAGGACCTTTAAAAAACAAACAATAATTTTAATTCAAAATTCATTTTTTTTTTAAATTTCTTACATCGTGTATTATCTTCTTCATCATTTTCCAAATAAGCTGCTATACATGTTTTACAAACTTCAAATAAAAAAAAGAAGAGACTATTTTAATAATAAATATAATTAAAAACATACAAGTGTGTAAACATTCTGGTATAGTTGCAGCATCAATCAAATATCCATTACACAGTGAACATGTTATAAATACATTTATATCTTTATAATGAATCTTTTTTTCTCTCATCTAAAACTAAGATATATACAGTGGATCTCAAACTAATTCGATTAGATTTATTTTCAATTTGTTTTTTTTTCGCTGATATAAACACTAATAAGAATTCAAATAGTGATTTCTTTAAAGAATTTTACGATATAAAAATGATTCCTAGTTTTTTTCAAGGATAGAATGTTTCAAAAACTCAATACCAAGCTTTCTAGCTCCTGCAATCCTGTTTCAGTTAAACAGAATGATAGAAAAAAAACAACTCTCTAAAGAATTAAACATCTTCCAGGTCTCAACGACATTTCGTGGCCTAGATATATCAGCCATACAGAAAGCATAAAAGTCGTTATTTTTCTCTTAGCTCGTAAGAAACACAATTTTTTGCGTGTTCTATATAATTAATGTATCTAGGTCAAAAAACATCATAGAAAGCTGAAAAATGTTTCATCTAGTAGAAAAATATTTGCTCTATTATTCTGTGTAATTCAAACAGAATTCTAGAAGTGGAAAAAACTAGTTTTGAGTGTTTTAGAAACTTTATCGTTGGAAAATTAGCAATTTATTTTCATTTTCGAAAATTCGTGTGGGAAATAAAATTCTCTACATAAATTATTATTTAGATTCTTATGAGCGTTTACAACGATGGAAAATAATTAATTAAATCGAAAGTTGTTAGAGTTTATATGAGAATTTTTTTCATTTCAAAAAAAGTATCGTTTATATCAATTATGTACAAATTAGTTTGTCAATATAGTTAATTAGAAAACATGGCTGCTTTTAAACATTTAGTTGATTTAAACTCACTCTATCCAAAAGAATTAAAACACAATGTTATTAATGATTTACTGAAAATTACAAGCTAACATGTAACTATATAGGAAAAGGATTTGCAAGATAATATTCATGTAATAATTTTGTTTCATTAGATGTCATTCTAAACTAAGATCATGCAAAAAATATGAACCAATAGGGTATTGAAATTTATTCGATATAAACGATACTTTATGAAATAAAAAAAAAAGTTTTAATTTTTTAAACTCAAACTAAATACTTTCGATTTGATGAATTTATTTCTAGTTTGATTCGAAATTCATTCGATCAAAATCGTAAGGAAAATATCGTTTGGATAAATTTAGAATTTGACTAAATTCCAACTGTGATCATCACACATATATTTTTTTATAGACAATACACAAGCAAACAACAATAAATAATTGTTTGTTTCTTTTTTTAAATTATTTTCTATTTTGTATATTTTCCCCATATATGTAACATGAATACACTTGCAATGAAAATTAAACTCATTACAAGTACAGGTACAGGACCAACTTTAAGACCTGGTGAATCTTCTGTATAAAAACGCCAAACACCTGCACTTGCACCACCACCAGTACCTGGTCGACTACGTGCAGGTGCTGTTGATTTACGTTGACGAACACCAGCACCACCACCAGTTGATCGTGGTCCAGCTACTTTACCTGAATCACCTTTACCAACCTGATAATTCATTAACAAAATTCATAAAAAATTTTCCTATAAAACAAAGATTCATACAGAAGTGCCACTTGGTGAAGCCGGCATGATTATTGAAATAGATTAACTTGTAGTTAAAATGAATGTATCAAAATTTGTGATTGTAAACAGACAACGGGAAAGTATGGATATCCGAATATATGCACGTAGAGGTTCAATAAAGAAACCAATAGAAAAATAGAATATAGAGGTCACTCAGAATTAATGAACTAGAAAATAGTATTATTAACATTTTAAAATAATAAAAATTTTTTATTTAAGACTACTGAAAATGAATGTCTATTTTATTTTGTAAGAAAAAAAATTATATTGAAGAACTATGATAGAATCGTTGAATTGGAATTGAGTGCATGTTAAATATTTAATGAGTTCTTTTACTTACATGTCCTTGACATGTTCAATAATTGAAAATATCAAGATGTATATTAATATTATTTTCATCAGACAGTGAAAAAAAAAATCTTTCTATTTGGAGACGATCTGAACCATTTGTCAAATGACGACCTATGGTTGAAAAATGAAAATTCAAAGAGAATATGTAGAATCATTTGTTGCATAAATTGATATCTGTTTCAGATATGTGTACCACACCTGAAAAACAGAACAAGAGCGGCACAATATGGTCGAATTTAACGTTAACTAGAGAACATTTTTCCGGAGACAATGTCGGAGTTATACGTTAGTAAAACAGGCAAGTATTTTTATAATTACATAGTAACAAGTTTATACTTCATATGTTAAATAATGAATATAAAATACACTACTTTATAGATTTATAAGTTTCAAAAAAAAAAACATCAGAGAGACACTAACAAGTACCATACAAAGAAGTATATATATCATTCAAAAGTAATTTTTGGAGTTGAAACATTCGATTCCACAGGTATCTAGTAGTCATATTTCTTCGAAATAGTCTTTCATTTCTGAACGTTTACGTATGAACAATAATATATTTCCATTTTAACTTATTTTGTAGTTAAAGGCAATTATAAGGATTTAACTAGAGAAATGAATATGTGTAAGATTCTAGAGAAATATTTATTCTGTCTAATAATGTTTACATTATCAAGTACTACTGCGTATCGTTGACATGTCAATAGATGATGTCATTTCCCTTATGCCACAATAGAACGCGCTGAATATGATCCTATCTATCGGTGTGTCATCTGTACGCAGTCGAACTTGCTAATGTATATAGTATTAGATAAAGAGAGCCTTTTTCTAGGAGTCTATGTATATTCAGTTCCTTAGTCAAAGCCCTTATAGTCACCTTTACACAGGTTTAAATTGACGATTAGTTAAAATATTGTGATCGTCACAATTAAGCTCACGAGGCTTTAAGCTAGGTTGATTTATTATCAGAATCATTTTTAATCAACGTTGATTACGATTTAATTTATAAACCCAACTGATACACATCAAAATGAGATACTAAAGCTAATGGTATCTCATAAAGAATCCATCTGGTAATGATGAAATTCTTTCTCTCAACTTTTCACTGTTTGATGTACATTCTTTTTTTGCTAAAAATTCTTAGCAACAGAGTTTGACAGTTGATGTGATTAAGATGGTGGCAGTGCATATCTCTGATTCATTTGAGGTTGAGATTCTATTAAATTAAATTTATGTAAAATATTTATGTAAAAACAAAAAGAAAAATGATTAATCTATAAGAAGTCTATTGATCACAGAAAAGAAAGAACAGTTAAATATCACTATAAAATAATACTGAAAAAATACTACAATTAAATCACGTTGCTTTGCCTATTTCCATTTTTTTATGAAGAAGACAACTGCCACGATATAAAAATGCATCGAGAATACTTGATACTGTAAAAACACCACCCTAAAATGAAAAAAAACAAATAAACATTTTGAAAATATTTTCAATAACAAAAAAAAAATAAAAATTTTTTTACAATAACAGCACATGATGATGTTACAAAATGAGCTAACGATCGTTGTCGTTCAACAAATTTAACCATAATCGCACTAATTTCATATGTAAAAAATGTTCCAGGTAATTGATGACTACTACTATCTAATATATTATGAATAGTTTTTTGGTATTTTGTAACAGAATATTGATTTGTTCTTAATTGAGTTTTATTTAAAAAAAAATATATTGATGGAACTATTTTAACATAATAATGAAAAAGAACAGCACCACCATTTGTTATTTGTTTTGTATTTGATAATGGATTTATTTGATTAGGAAAATATTCACCAAATGATAAATCATTTATATAATGAGTAGTATTTAACAAATTTAAACGTATATTTCGTAATGAATGAACATGAAGATGTTGTTGTTGAAATGATTGACCAGGTGCTATATGAAAATTTCCAGCAACTTTATTCACTTCTAAGTAACCATGAACACGGCAACCTTCATTCATTTGAGTTAAATTGCCACTAGAATTGTCACTAAGCATACCAATTGCTTGACCTTCGCGAACACATTGCTGTACACCGGCTTAAAATCAGAAGAAATTTTAGAGAATTTCAACAAATAGATAATATAAAAAAAAAGATCAAGCATGAGGTGCTGTGTAGTAACAGATTCAATAACCCGATATCTTCCCTATAACTAGCTCTGGACAAAAGGCTAGCTTGATACAATGTTCTTGCATTCCCCATAGACATTAATTAACCACAACAGCATACGTATGCCACAACGTAGTCAGTATGCTGTCGGACGGATGGTCTGAGACAAACAGTCGTTAATAGCTTATCCAGGATCATTTCATGACTGATGGTATCAAGGTTTGAACATAGCACCTTGTAGATGCATTTCAAGCAACCTAGCAGCCATTCAGCGATGATGACTTTGAATTGATTAATCGGTATTGTACTTTATCGAACATATATTTTTCACAATATTCTAACCAGAATAATCCTTTATCCTCTTTGGTCATTGAAGTGATCATTTGTAGAACGATTTCAAAAATAAAGGAAATATGTCTTATAGTAAACGCTATAAACTATCAATTGATAAGAAAATATTTTGTTTTTTGTTACTTCATCTTCGAGAAAGATGAATTATAAAATCGATAAGTTTGAAAGAAAAAAAAACGCAAAAGTTGGATTTGTTTTTAAATAACATATTTTTCTACCAACAAGATATGTAACAGAAATGTATTGTGTGATATATATATATAACGATGACATTGCCTACTACTAGTATCAATACCATTCGAAAATTTCACAAAAGCTAAGTAGAAAAGAGATGGTAAGACATAGAATGATCACTAGGAATTCTCCAGAAAATCAGACCTTTAGTTTTTTGAATGCTTACAATTTAGGCATAAAATTTGTTCACATCACACGAAATGGTACAGAAAATCATTCTCTAAAAAATGAGACATTCTTGAGGCCTGTACGTACGATGTTGTTTCATCGAACTAGATCAAATTTACGGAAGGTCTCAAACAGAATTTTTGTCTAATCGTTCTTTCCCAATGATCACTACAGTGACTAAACGAGAGTGCACCTGATCGATCTGTCTACAAATCGGAGACATCAATATTCTATTTTAATAGCAATTTCATCTTCTGGGATCGTTATAGGAAGTAAAGGACTGCATCATTAATTCAATTTTCTTACGTATAACTTGAGATATAGAATAAAAATATATATCTGTTATGATGGTAAAATTCTTTACCACTCTCAACACTCATATAAAGTATTGAAAATTTTGATAGAATGAAAAGCGTGAATAATTTTTTGAAAATAACATCAATTCATTTTTGATTTTTCTACTCATCAACCTTGCAGGAAACAATTCAAGTCTTATTTGACACTATTTAAATAATGATAACATCAGTTGAACATTGTAATGCAGTTTTAAAAATTTCTCAAAAGACTTTTAAAAAATCTAAAGTAAAATCCTCAAGATTAACTGTTTCCTTTCTATCGATCATCAACATTGAATTTGATAGGCCGAAAATTACGATAGTCTGGTCTAATGTAACATCTGTAATATACATTTTCTTTTCATTTTATTTACATCAGTTTAATCCGAATGTTGTCATATCACATGAGTAAGGATGTATCAAGAAAATAGACAAAATAAGATTTCAATTATTTTTTTTTTCATTTTCCTCATTTCAATTTCTTAAATAATCAGTAGAACAAAATTGTTTATTTTTGAAATATCGTTGCAATGCAATATCCTAGAGATTTTATCACTCTTCTTGTTAGAACCAATAACATGTGTAGTACAAAAATATATATAGCAGAAATTGATCGGACATGTTTATCAAAGGCAATTTTTCGCTCTATTTTTTATCTACGTCAGTTTCTTTTTTCAACAAAAAAGACTCACTTGCATCAAATGACCATCCTTTCTTTCTATATGCTACTTTCACATCATCACATGTTGGACAACATTTATGTTCGTCAGATTCTGCTCCATAACAAGATTCACATTCTGGAACATTCGTTATATTCTCTTGTGTACCATTTCTTTTTGATAATGATTGAAATGATACTCTTATAATATCGTTTGCTACAATGTTTCCATTTAAATCTAATCTTGTTTTATATAAATTATGTACTATATCCGTTTGTGATTCTCCTGATACATCCATAGCATCAATAGTTAAATAACTACATGGTAAAACTGGAAATCGAATATCAATAGTTATATTCATTTTTTCTTGACGACTTGTATCAACAAATAAAATTTGTTCAATATCGGTAGTTAAATAATATTGTAATTGAAAATAAAATAATATGAAAATTACTAATGTACTTAATATTGTAACTAGACCACCACTTGTTGTTCGAATACGGAAATCTTCTAAGGTTTTAGCATATGCATCAAAGCGTTTTAATTGGGATGACATTGATTGATAATGTATAAAAAAAAAAAA